CATTTTCATATCAATGTCTTCGCACTTAGCCTCACTTTCAAACAGAGGCTTGGGACTTCTCGGAAATGGCCTAATATTGACAACGATATGTTGTTGTCATTCTTATTGTTAATTCCTAAGCACGGAGACTATATATTTTTGTGGTTAATTACATAATAACAACTAGGAAATGTACAGCGACAGACGGCATGATAGAAATAATTTTCACAATTACCTTGCGCGGTCATTGGTCGAGAGCGTATTATTATTTTGTACAATTACGTTACCTCTATAACGTAGAGTAGATAAAATCAAAAAAGGCACGCTTGCCAAAGAAAAATTTAAAAAAGTGCCTTTAGAGCAATTTAACTGAAGGGGAATTTTGAGGAATGGTTTTTGGTGTGAACAAGCTTTCGAACAAAATTTATACTGTTTGCATTGTTTTCAGAGTTAAATAAATGTACACTTTGAGACAGAGTAATTAATACGTTATTACATGTAAACATAATACTCAGTGAAATCTTAACGAAAACATTTTCAACAAAACTAGTCAACTTATCTCATGGTAGATCCTTAGTCCACTTACTCCATACAATGTTAGATTTTGTTTAATTATATCCAGAGAGAGATTTCTTTGAGTGTGGAATAATACCATTCCTTTCCCCAAAATTGAATTTTTCATTTGTTAAAAAAAAAATCTTCATAAATTAATACACAGCGGTCAAGGTTCTTATTTTGTCACACCCACTACATAAATACAATAAACTGCTGCTTACAGAACCTGGGCTTATAAATTTTCATAAGGGGTTTCAGGAGCGCTGTTAAACTTATATCCCAAGGATGGGGAGGGGATGGGGGCTTATTACCCGGAATAAAAAAAGTGCATCAAAAGAAGCTATAACAGTGCTGATTAAACTGCGTTTTGGATTTACTGATTTTAATTAAGCTTCAAAATATCATAGGTGACGAACTGCTCCTTAATTTTGGCGCGAAATTTCAGCGTTAACTTGTAATTTCACATGTGAAATTACTAAATTGCCATGGCAACTTTCCGTACGTCTCAGTGTCAAGATGGCGACGAAGTTTTAAAATGTCATGAATGAAGATGTCAGGGCACAAAAAGATGCTTTAGAAAACCTGAACACACGAAAGAGCACATCAAGAAGGATTCTCACAGGTATTTTGTTGAAAAACTCTGAACTTATGCCAAATTTAAGCTCTAAACGTTCGAGAGAGTGCAGGAGTTCTCAATCGATACGATCCTGTCAAAAATCCAAGACTGCTAACGTAATTCGTCACCCATGATATTAATAGGTAATCAAATGGTATACTCGTGAAATTATAAGGATTTGGACAAAACGCGCGTGAAATTATTCCCTAATTTCACTCGTCACCATTTGATTACACAGACAAATGTTATAATAAATCAAACATTTGTTTATTTCAATACAAGCTAGAGGGGGCGGGGGAGGGGGGTATAACTGGATATGTTTTTTTTTTATAGGTAGATGGGTGTGTAACTGGGAGGGCTTATATTTGGGGGGGGGGGGG